TCCATGTAGGAAAGTTAGTCCCATTGAGGTGCTCAATTGAGTTCAGGAGCTCAGAAAATAGTGATGGGTTCAAAGCTGAATAAAACATAAATAACATGGATATCAAAATTACGAATTACGAAAATATCCATCTTAATGTTATGAGAAAACCAGATCGGATAAGCAGAGTGAGTTAGCTCTGCAAGGACGGCACCGATGCGAAGTGGTCGGCGCCACCGTGAGGCGCGCGACGGCAGTGGCAGCGCCACCATGAGGCGCACGGCAGCGGCAGCACGGCCTGAGGCACACGGCAGCGTGGTGCGAGCACAACCAGATGTGCTCGGCTACAGCAGTATCACCCTGAGGCGGACGGCGGTTGTGACACCACCGCTGATGTGCGTGAGTGTGGCCTAATTACGTGAATTTTCAGGCAAGTTCTATGACACAGATTGATCTACTGCCAATTTTCCTCAAATAGATTCATGTGATTAGATCCAACCGGCTACTGATACCAAATGTTAGAGATATTGCTGGGATTATGCAATTGCTAATCGGATCTTATCTAATACACATGAACACTACTCGATTTGATGCGGAAATTAGTGGACAGTAGTGTGTTTATACCTCGTTTGGAGAGGCCATCTCGGTGGAGGAAGTGGAGTCCGATGACGAACTGCAGCAGCGTAGTAGATCACTCTGGCACCTCGCCGGAGTAAGGACAGGCCTTCACGTCGACGTCCAACGCACTACCGATTGGATTTGGAGTGAATTTCGGAGGGCACTGTTATCCTAAACGATACGACGATCAAATAGGTGCAGGGGTGCCCTCCTTTATATATAGCGCTGTATATGACGTGTGACCTAACCATATTAGTAACTAGATGACACCCCGCACGTTGTTGCGGGAACTGTTGAAAGAAAAATGGGATATGTTAGACAAATGAAATAGAAATAATTTGGACATACTTTTAGCCATAGTGTTTCTTGGCTAAAATAAAACCATTTCATGAGATTTAACAATGCAGAACTGGGTAGAAAATGCATAACATTTCCTTTCAAAACCATATTTACATTAGTGGTTTCATTTCCCACTGGCAAAATATTGTGGCCCTGCCAAGCATTTGTGCATCAAAAACCTCTCACCCACAAAGAATAAATAAATATACCACAAATCAGATAGGCATTTGAGATTTGCTTCAGAGCTGGTAATGATTCTTCTTAGTTGGCCATATCATAGCTCACTGCTTATATTCATGGCGAAGACAACAAACAATCACCTCCATTAACAGGAACAGGGTGTTGGCACTTGAAAAGTGAAAAAAATAATAGCGTGTAAGAGTTGATGACAGTGAGAACAGAATTTGCCAGTTCGGGTTGTCCCGTATTTCTACACATAAAAACCAAACCCCTGCTACATCTAGTGACGGCAATATTATACAACAATTAGCGTGAAAGAAGTTTCATGATAAAATAAAATGGTGATGCAATTTTGACTTAATAAGGTAAGACCAATCAAGGGAGAAAGCTTTTATACTTAGCACGGTGATTAACTTTTGGTCAATAATTGAACAGACAATTCATAACCATATTATGCATTCAATATTGTATTCTAGGTAATATTGCAGGTCTATAATATTCATGGTTTGGGAAGTCAGGATAACCTGTTCCGGAACAAAGGCATGTATGCAAACCGAACAAATATGACAATGAACAGAGAATAGTGAACTAAATCTTACTGATTCCGCAAAGCTGAACATAATTAGATTAAAGGTGTTGAACTAAAGCAGTTCTATAGGAGTCAAAGAATAACAATCTGTAAGGATAAATAAAGGAGGGCATGCTCTTACTTCTATAGAATTGAATGAAGATTTGCTTCAGAGGTGGTAATGATTCTTCTTAGTTGCCCACACCGGAGTACTATTTTTAGGTCCATGCAAGACTAATGAGAATTGAATGGAAATAATAGTCTGACCGTCCTTCGACTATTTTTGCATCATCTTCCTTCAACTGCTCAGATCTATACTTGTCAACACTCTCGGGTTCGCATATATGTGGAAGTAACTCACACCATTAAAACATGTGAATGATTGGAAGAGAACTACTCCAGAGAAAAGGTTTCTTTACCCTGTAATCCAGACCAAAGTAACCTGCAAACACCAACATATTTTGAGTATTCAGAAATATGTTCAAACCACATCAGTAATTAAAAATAGTAGATGTATTGAACAACAAAGAAGATTATGGACATCATACCATCAAAAGAGATTTGTGCATTTTGTAAGACTTATTCAGAGGTCTTCTTTAGCAAGGGGCAATACAGAGTGTGCAAATTTATGCAATCATACGAACAAAATGGCGCAGAAAGAGTTACCTTTAGTGGATGGTCACAAAGAAATTCAGTAACATTATTGATTCCACCTACTGGAGCAAATAAAGTCAATAGAAAATATGCAGCTTGACTGCTGGTGTCTCTTCTCATCACAATAGATCAACGGCGGAGCTATGTTGAAGGTTGAGGGGGCTGTGGCCCCCCCAACCCATGTGCAATTTTTTTTACTAGGTATGTAATCGCGTGCCCTGCAGCTCTTGGATGGCACATGCACATATACGTAGAAGGCCGATGGATTTCTTGCCTAGCTAAGACTCAACCAATCACGTACGTGCAAAGCTAAGACTCAACCAAGCAGCCAAGCAACTTAATCGATATCTTGGCTAGCTGTAGATGTATGCATGTGAACCTGGGCTTTCACTAGGGCTAATACCGGATCGATTGATCTGACTCTCTCAACGGAACTCGCGTCAACTTAGGAGGTCAAGACGGAGGAACAAGGGCACTCCTGAGATGGTCGTCTTTGGTTCTTCGCCACTAGCCGGTGGTCGTCGATGTAGGCCAGCCGGCACGCCACTCCTCGTCGCAGGCCGCCCCCCATACGATCTTGTCTACTTAATTTTGCAAGTGCCATCTACCCGGCTTAATTAAACTCTAAACTACTGGATCCCTTTTTGCAATGTTGCTCATACGAGTAAATTGGGGGCAACACTAAATTTTGGAATATCCTGTTTTATTTTAGCAATTAGTATGCTTATTCATTTGACCTAATTTGGGGTATTTTAACGGAATTCAGTGTCTTCCTAGTTTGAACGCTAAGCGGCAACGTGTATATTTCGATGTGTTTAGTTCTCTTATGAAGCACATATATTCCTAATCATACATTTATTTTGCGATAAATATGGGTAATATAAGTATAAATTTTCCTGAAGGCTACAAGTTCTTGTTTGTTGA